TCTGCCTCCCGAGTGCTGGGATTAAAGGCGTGCGCCACCAACGCCCGGCTCTTCTACCATTTTTTAATCTTTTAAAAAAATGAAAGGATACCTAAGACAGGTGAGAGGCAGAATGTCACCAGTTAACAGCAGGAATAACCAGGAAAAACCTAAGCCAGGGATAGTGTCTATTTTCACCTGCAAACTCATTCCACTGTGCAGGGTAAGATGAAGTAGCACTGGTCCCTCATGCCTTTGCATACAAGATCTCCATAAATGTTAACAGGACTGAAGATCTTTCTTTGGGGAGCAGTCCCTCCCGCCCACCATCATGTGTAGAGGAAGTCTGATAATGTTAAGCCGATGTCCAAGTGCCATTTATTAATGTTTGTGTGTTTTTGATATGTGTAACCTTATATTCTCACCCCATTCTTTACTGAGGGTATCAAGGCAGTAACAAGTCAAAGGGATGGTCTGCAGCCTGGGTGAGTTTGACTGCCTGGATCTGAAGAGTGACAAGGACAAAATAGTCAGTTTGTGCTGGAATAAAGGATTCTGGAGCTGGAATTTACAGCAGAGACAATGCTATCAGGAACAGCCTGTCCTTGGTTGAATGGGGATATTTTTGTGGAGCCATTTGACACCCACTTTGGGAGGGAGGCTTTATCCTTTTCCTCCCACAGCATGGGTCAGATGTATTCTCTATCACATGAAGAGAGTGATAATAATGTTGTTCATTCTTGAGCATCCTAATAAAGAAATATGTTCCTACTTCACTTTAAATGAAATGGCAGCAGTACCTGACTTTCAGTTTTATCAACTAATATTTAAAACGAAATGCTTGTAACATGGGGAGGGGGAACCTTGACACATGGTCTGGGTATGTAGACCAGGCTGGCCTGAATTCTCAAGAGATCCCTGCCTCCGCTTCCCATGCTGGAATTACAGGTATGCACCCCCACTCCCATTCATTGTTTCAATGTGTGTTGGTGTTGGGACTTGAACCTAGGGCTTACCTTGAGGGAAAAAAAAAAAAAAAAAAACAGGGCTATGTGACTAGAGAGGTAACTGGTTAAGAGCACTGACTGCTCTTCAGGGGACCCAGGCTTAATTCCCAGCAACCACATGGCAGCCCACAGCTCTCTGTAACTCCAGCGTCCAACACCCTCACACAAACATACATGCAGGCAAAACACCAAAGCACATAAGAGTAAAAATATATAGAAAAAAAGGGGGGACTATGTAAAGCTATCACCTATCACACAAGTCTCTGGCTTGGTAGTTCAAAATTCTCTTGTACAGTCACTGAAGTGTTACCATTCTAGAACAGGAGTTTCCTAACAAGTTGGTTGGTTCGCAGGGACCCATTTGTAGGGCAGCCTAGCAGGCCTCTGCCCACTAGATGGCAGTAACATTCCACCTCCACTCCTAACCAGAAATGATCCTTCAGTAATCACTGTGCCCTGGGAACAAACACCCACAGTTGAAAACCACTACTGGCAGTCAGTCAGGCACAGGCAGAATTAGTGTTGGCAACTGAACTGCCAGCTCCTACCTATTGTGCTTCCACACCTGTGCCACACAAGCCACACAAATCTTCCAGTGTGCAGATAACTATACCACAGTTACCAGATGAATGAGGACAAATATGTTCATTTTTCTATTGGTCTGCTTGGGCCAGTATTCTCACACCAGCAGGAAGCACACTTGAAGATAAGGGCGCACGAGACCCATCTCCTGCTCAGGGCCTATTTACCTACGAGGCCAGTCGTCATCCCAGTAAGTTGGACATTTGTGGATTGGGGTTTCAGGTGGTTCTGCCTTTTTAAGTTAATCAGAATCCAAAAGGAATTTGGTGGCCCAATTTTATTTTTGTGTTTTCCTGAATAAATGTATGTTCGTGTGCATGCTTGATACCCATAGAGGTCAAAAGAGAGTATTAGAAAAAAGAGAGTATTAGATCCCTCAGAAGTGGAATTACAGAGGTTGTGAGCCACCATGTGGGTGCTGGGAAACAAACCTAGGTCCTCTGCAAGAGCAACAAGTGCCCTTAACTGCTGAGCCATCTCTCCAGCCCCAGCATTTAAAGAAAACAAGTGGGAGGACATATGGAAATACAGTCTCGCTAAGGCTTGTCACTCCAGAAGTACCAGTATGACCACTTACCCGTCAATGTCACACTGTCCCTGACCTCCTCTAAGGTGTTTGTTTCCACCTTGATATGTGCTTCCTTGGAAGAGAAAGTTTAGCTAAAAGCAGTTAGAGTAACCTCTGATTCAAGGCAAGCTACTTGCCCATTCATACTGAACAGCACGCGGTCTAAAGTTAGAGCTCTTTATTCATCTAGTAGTGGAAGGCACAGCGAAGTGGGAGGACTGCAATCTCCATGATTACGTCCCTTGCATCCTGTCAGGCGGCTCTCTGTAGCTAAGACACCTGCTAACCTGGCGTGAACACAAGCAGGTGGCCTGGCTGTAGTATGGGAAGTTGCTGTGAGTGTGGTCTTCAGTCAGTTCTTCTGGAAGTGTCTGGTGAGAGCATCCAGCAGTTCCTGCTTCTTGGGTCCACTCTTCAGCCCGTAGGTCTTGCACGCCTCCTTCAGTGTGGGCACAGTGAGCTTGCCCAGTGTGCCCTTGGCAACATGAGCCTTCAGCTCTTCCTCTGATAACTCCACCTTGGGCTTTTTACTTGCAGAATCTTCGTCATCTAGAGAAAGGCAGGAAGGAACAACCTAGAAATTCTTCCAGTGGTCTCCCAGCTACATGACACAGGACCCTCCTATGATGTGGGCTGCAGTTGACCACGTACCATCTGCTTACCTAAAACAGCTAATCGTTCTGTGTGAGCCTATCCCTTTTTGTCTGTACAAAAATTTACAGGAGCTGGAACGCCAGCACAGCAACGGAGTGCTTGCCTAGCATGCTTAAGGCCCTGGTTTAAATGTCAGCAAACCCAAGGTGTAAGGAAATAACCATTTAAGTTCTGAGGCACCAGACAATAAAAACAGGCAGGGCAAGTGACAAATTCATTGGTAAACCACAGACAATGTCTGACAAGCTTTGACAGCAACTTCTAGGTCATGACAGGAGTCGGTTCTGAAGCAAAATGGAGCAGTCAGGATGGCCAGCCATCTGATCCTCGGCACTCCTGTCCTCATGGACACTAAGCAACAAGGCTTAAATGTGGCTTTACTTAGCCAAAGACATTCCAAAAAACGGTGACAGTGTACCTGGTGCTGCTCTACAAACGGGAGCCTCACAGTAAAGGAAACTTGGGGGTCCATCAGTAATAAAAAGGGCTGTCCTGTGAGAAAAATGCTCAGTGCCAGGAACAGATAATGGGAGGAGGGGGAGCCCAGTGAGACTACGCTCCCAACTAGAGAACTACACATCTACACATCAAACAGGACATACATTCTCTTGATAATCAGGGGCCAGAAAGATGGTTTAGCAGTCAAGAGCACTGGCTGTTCCTTCAGAGGGCCTGAGTTAAATTCCCAGCACCACATAGCAACTCACAACTGTCTATAACTGTAGTTCCATGGGATCTAATGCTTTCTTCTGGTGTGCAGATAAAACACCCATATACAACACATAAACAAATCTTTAAAAACTTAGATAATGGGAGCCGGGCGGTGGTGGCGCACGCCTTTAACCCCAGCACTCGGGAGGCAGAGGCAGGCGGATCTCTCTGAGTTCGAGGCCAGCCTGGTCTCCAAAGCGAGTTCCAGGAAAGGTACAAAGCTACACAGAGAAACCCTGTCTCGAAAAACAAAACAAAACAAAAAAAAAAAAAAAAAAAAAAAAAACTTAGATAATGGGTGGGAAGTACAAGATCATTAAGAGCATAGAAGGCAGTGTGGTGATCCATGCCACCCAGGGGGATAAGTCAGGGCTTCCTGGACTTGAGGGGTCAGCCTGAACTACAAAGACTCTGTCTCAAAACAAAACAACTAAAAAGCATACTAAACACGCTCATTTCTTCTAGATGGGGTATATGTCACTTTTTTTGAAGGCTATATATCCCAGGTCTTGTCAGGTTTCTGAGTGCTAGGACTATGGGCCTGTGCCACCACACCCGACTTTTGATGCAGTTCTTACCAGATTTACGTGTGTGTGCACCTGTGTGTACAGGTGCAGGTCTCTGCAGAGGCCAGAGGATGGTCTACGGCTCTCCACCTTACTCCCTTGATGTAGGATCTCTCACTGAACTTGTCCCTGTCTGCCCCCATAGTGGGTTTACAGGCTAGTGTGGCCAAGCTTGGATTTTGACATGGAGGCTAAGGATCTGAACTCAAGTCCTTACACTTGCCTAGCAAGCACTCTGATCCACTAAGCTATTGCTCCAAACCCCAGACTTTTAATGTCTACCATTTAATGTCTGCTGCTAACATGTGTTCTATTGATCTGCTCAAACAAATACATAAGATTGTTTATGTTCAATAAGAGCTCTCAGTAAGGGGACTGGAGAGATGGCTCAGAGGTTAAGAGCACTGACTGCTCTTCCAGAGGTCCTGAGTTCAATTCCCAGCAACCACATGGTGACTCACAACCACCTGTAATGAGATCTGGTGCCCTCTTCTGGCCTGCAAGGACACATGCAGGCAGAACACTGTATACATAACAAATAAATAAATCTTTAAAAAAAAAAAGAGCTCTCAGTAAATAAGCAAGCAGGGACATCTAGCCACCGATCCACTCTAAGTACTCTACAGCCTAATGAAAAACATTCCTATTGTGTGTATGATGTATCTGTGGACATAAGAGGACAAGTTTATTGGGGTCCCAGGAGGCTTGCACAGGGCACATGGCCATGGGCTGAGCCATCTCATCAGCCTAAGTTTTTAAAAATGAGGTAGAGGGGCTGGAGATGGCTTAAGGGTTAAGAACACTGTGTACACTTGCAAAGGACTAGGGTTTGGTTCCCAGAGCCTACCTACATGGTGGCTCATGACCACCTGTAACTCCAGTTCCAAGAGATCTGATACCCTGTTCTGACCTCTGCAGGCACCAGACATGTAGATGGTACACATATATACATGCAGGAAAAACTCATGAAGTCATAAAATAAACCTAAAAAGGAAGTTTTAATATGGTAGAGGGCTGGGGAACGGCTCATCAGATCCAAATATTTGCCAAGTAAACCTGAGTGATCTCTGGAATCTACCTAAATAAAGGTGGAAGAAGACAACTCATTTTTCACAAAGTTGTCCTCTGAGCTCCACACATACGCCATGGCATACATGTGCCTATACTCTGCCCCATAATGCATGCACACACAGGGAAACAATGTGAGCATTCCATTTGTACTGAAATATGCACATCTGTATAGACATTTCTAGGCAAGTATTTTAACACTAAGCCCCACCACCCTATGTATATAAATTTCTGGAAAGGCTGGGATGTAGCTCAGTAATACAGTGAGGTCCTGACTTTGACCCCCAGTACACTCATCACCCCCCCAAAAATGAAAAGTAGTAAAATAAGCTATCTCTGTGCTAAGACCATAAAGACCACAGGATACTTTTTAAGGGCACATGCTGTACATCTAGACCCTGCCCCTCACCTTGTTTTCTCTTGGTAACTTTTCCCTCAGGATTATAGCCCGGGGGGTAGACAAGCTCTTTAAACTCATCTGCCAGAGAACCCAGTCTTTTCTTGATGACTTCAACCTTGGGCACTAGAAAATCAAAACAACACAGTGGTCAGGTGAGTCACATACATCTTAGTGACTTGTCCAGTTCCAGTTCTGTGGGGAATACCAGAGAGCGCTGAGTCGGGAGGGGTAAGGGCTGGATACAAGGTAGCTGACCATGAAAACATGGAACAGAATCCTTCTGGCACCTTCCATGCATAGCCTCCTCAATTGTGAGCGACCATTCTAAGACCTCCTTAGAGTCCCACATCTTGGAAAATGTCAGTTCCTTATTTAAATGGCACAGTACCTGCATATGTCTACACACACCTCTTGCGTACCTCAAGTGACCTGAGGATATGGAGTAGTCCTTCCTCACAGGTGGCTGAACTTCAAGATTGTCTCCTACCAGACAGGTACACAGTCCCCACACTCATGCCTGATTTTAATAACAGCTATTTTGTCTGGTGTAAGAGGCCGTGGATAACTAGGACGCTAAGCAAGTCAAATTAATTGTTCCAGTCCTTTTAACTGTTAGGAGGACCTTCATTAAGTCCAATCTGTGTCCAGTGACTATTCATTTCCTGTCACAGTCTGTCCTCATAAACACCACCAAGAAGGGGTCGAATAGCAAGGCCCAAGACGGCCGCCGACCTAATGGAAAAGCAGCAATCACAGTAGTTCCTGGAGAGGGCAGGACTGTTTTCTAAAGTACCCACTACTGACTGCTCGGCACCTGTAACTTTCTCTGTAAGTAAGGACAGCAGTAGCCCTTGCTTCAGAACTATGAATATTAACTGAGTCCGCATGCAGGACAACAGTGCCTTCCACACTGTGAGCCTCAGGAAATGTTATCAACATTACATTTCACCAAAATGGTCGTGGGATGGCCTAGTTAGTTCCGAGTCAGGTCTCAGGAACCTGGCACTCTGTCCTCCTGTCACTGCAGAGGTAGCCAAATCTGTTCCAGGCAGTCTAAGGTGACCTAGAAAAGCTCTCAAGCAGAGACAGTCTGGATGAGGAGGGTTGGAGACGGTAGAAAAATGCTTCAGATCACTGGTCAGGGTCAGCAAAGCAAAAGCTATCTCCCTTTGTGGTTCCCCCAGCAAGCGCACACCAGCACCACTTGGAGCTGAGACAGGCCCAGGCCTCGGCTAAGGATATGGCTCATCAAACGAAGTGGAAGAGCGACCCCGCAGTGTGTAAGTCCCAAGGGTTCAATCCTCAGCACCGACAAACAACAACAAGAGGCCGTTCAGCTCAGTCCATTTCTTACGTGTCACATCGACCACTTGCTCAGACTCCATCATGTCCAGAGCTAGGGCCTCCAGGTTCCGGAAGTGCTGCTGCAGCACTGGGTTCTCAAAACTGTCACTCCTGTCAAAACAACATCAAAACAGAAGAGCTTTCAGGGAGAAACCACACAGCCAGCTGAGACAGCACAGGTCGGAGGTCAGTAGAGAAAAAGGCCATGAGGAAATGGAGATGTCAGAAATCCACTTCTCTCCCTCAGTTTCCAGTCTGTTGCTGTCCCATTAACTGCAAAGCGAGTCTGGCCACTTGCTGTCACCAGAAGCTTCAGGCAGAGACGAGACTAGAGAAAAGAATGACAACAGAGAGACCAAGGACCTCGGGACGAAAAGGGAGAAAATCCAAAGTGTTTTACGTGCACAGAGCAGCACAGCAGGGAAGCGTTTGAACCCAGAGCCAAAGTGTGGAGCTGAAGCCTGGTCTCTGGTCTCGACGCTTTTCTAGTTGGATGAGAGCAAAAAGAGGAGCTAGTGTCCTATAGCCTGTTTCATCTGCAAACTAGGTACAAAACCAACCTTGGAGGGTTCTTTCAGACGTGTGTGTGTGTGTGTGTGTGTGTGTGTGTGTGTGTGTGTGTGTCTGCAGATGTCAGAGATGCCTGCAGAGGTCAAAGGTGTCAGATCCCTTGGTGCTGAAGTTACAGGTCATAGTGAGCCACCTGACATGGATGCTGAGAATCAAATTCCGGTCTTCTGCAAGAGCAGTAGATGCTCTTAACTACTGAGCCATCTCAGCCCCCCTTTCAGGTTTCTTATGGAGAATAAAGGACAGGGTTGAGGTGTAGCTGCGTGTAGAGCACTTGCTTCACATGCCAGGACCCCAGATTCAATTCAGCACCAAATGTTAACAAAAATAATTAACATAATATTGACATTGTACATAGAACAGTGTCTAACACATGGCACATTTTAGTTCTTGGTGTGTGTGTGTGTGTGTGTGTGTGTGTGTGTGTGTGTGTGTGTGTAACACATGCACCTGAGATCAAACCCAGAGCCTTGTACATGCTAGGAAAGTGTACCCCCAGCCCTACATGGTAGATTCTTAGTGTTCCCATTTTCTAGGAAAGGACCATAGCAGGAAGTTATAGCTGAAGGTGAAAAGCATTTTTTCTGTTTTGCCTTTTTTGAGACAAGGTTTTATATATACCAAGGTGACCTCAAACTTACTCTGTAGCATAGTAATGACCTTAAACTCCTCATATCCCTACCTCTACTTCCCCAAGTGCTGGGATTATGGATGTGTACCACACTGTCATTTGCCCAGAAGTAAAAGTAACATAGATTTAAAAAAAACTAACTCAATGGCAAAAAAAAAAAAAAAAAGAAAGAAAAGAAAAAGACTTGTAAACTGATTTTAAAATAGAATACAGGCGAAACATGTTGATGTATGTCACCAATTCCACACCTAGGCCACTCTGGGCTAGATAGCAAGACAATGTCTCAAAAACTTAACAAAAGAAAAACCAAACAACTTAGACCTTGATAAGCCTGTCTCCTAAGAAGACATACAATGGCCAAGAAGTGTGTAAGAGATGTTCAACTGTCGTTAGCATTAGGGAAATATAAATGAAGCTACCCTGAGGTACCACCTCACATCTCTAAGACAGCGGCTGAGAATGCAGCTCAGCTGAGAGTATCTGACTACTAAACATGAAGCCCTGGGTTCAATTCCCAACACCAAACAAACCAGGCATGGTGGCACTTGCTTGTAATCCCAGTGCTAGGGAGGGGAAGGCAAGGTCAGAAGTTCAAGTTCTTCATAGGCTACATAGCAAGTTCAAGGCCAGCATCCAGGAGACAGTCAGTAAAGACAGACCAGGGCTACATATTGAGTCAGTCTCCCACCTCCTCAGAAAGATCTCATGGATCCCAAAGGAAGCCCTGAACTCACGGATGACCACTAACTCCTAATCCTGCCTCCACCTTCAGAGTGCTGGGAACTATAGGTATGCACCACAGTGAGCAGTAAGATACTGTCTTTAAAAACAACAAGACAAGGCAGTGTGGCCAGCATGGGGAGAAACTGGAACCTTCGTACACTTTGGGTGAGAATGCAAAATAGGCAGGCACCATGGGCAAGTGTAAGGAGGGTCCTCAAAAGTACAGCCAGGACAGTGAGACGGCTCAGTGGGTAGGAGCTGGCTTGCCTGGCTTGCTGCACTGGAGGACAACCAACTCCCAAAAGCTGTCCTGCTCTCACCTATACACATTACTTACACACACACACACACACACACACACACACACACACACACACACACAAATAAGATTGCAAAAATGTAAAATACAGGACTGGTAGGATAACTCAATACACAAAGGTGCTTGTCACCAAACCCAAGGCTTGAGTTTAATCCTCAGAATTCCACATGATGGAAGGAGAGAACCAACTTCTCTGAGTTTTCCTCTGAACTCTACCCATGAACTAGAGCACACACAAAATAAATAATAAAGGTAGATTTTTTTTCTTGTTAAAAACAGAACCATCCAAAATTTGAAATCAAGATGTCAAAGATATACCAACATCCCCAATCTCATTATAGCCCTCCTCACAACAGCCAAGACATAGAAAGAAACCTTACAAATGTGTTGTGGGATATTTGTACTCTGCGTGAAGGTGTATTGCGGTGATGGTGTAATAAAGAGCTGAACAGCCAAGAGCTAGGGAGTACAGGCGAGACTTCTGGGCAGAGAAAGGAAGTAGGAGGAAGAATCTAGGTGTACGAGAAAGATGCAAGGAGACATGGAGGAACCAGGATGGGCAGTATGTGACAAAATGTAGATTAATAGAAATGGGTTAATTTAAGTTATAAGAGCTAGCTAAAAACAAGCCTAAGCTAAGGCCAACCTTTCATATTTAATAAGTCTCTGTGTCGTTATTTATAAGCTGGCAGCCCAAAGAAAAGTCCAACTACACACATACATTAACAAATGAGTGGATAAAGAATATAGTATATGTTATATATTTATATTAAGTATATTAGAATTTATTAGTCAGTCTTTAAAAAAAGGAAGGGGCCAGAGAGATGGCTCAGTGGTATAGATCTGCTGTTCTTCCAGGCCCTAGGTTTGATTCCCAGCACCCACATGGCTGCTCACAACCATCTGTAACTCATTTAGAGAGTCCTATGCCCCCTTCTGACCTCGTGCATTGCACACACATGATGCGCAAATATACACTCAGGTAAAACACACAAATCAAACAGAAACAAATCTTTTTACAAACGTTTTAAAGAAGGAAGGAAATCCAGCCGCATGCAGCAACAGTGCCGAGCCCAGAGGACATACTCTGAGGAAAAGAACTCAGCTGCAGAGGACAAACACCACGTGTCTCCACTCATGTGCATATCTGCAACAGTCACACTCAGGCCCGAGGGTGGTGGGGGCCAAGGGAGGGACAGCGGCTGATCAGGTCTCACACTGCAGCTGTGCAGGCGGACAGACTGCAACAGAGCAGCATCCAGCAGTTTCTCTACAGGGTACTGACAGTCTGTTAAGGAGGCAATGTCTTACAGAAGATACACACTAACGAGAAAGATGGCGCAAAGGGATAATGTCTGTGGTCACAGGGTGTCGGCTTAAAGGATGTTCTCTTTTCAGTTTATAAAAAGTGACTTGAGAGCTGGGTGTAGGCACAAGCCTTGAATCCCAACACTCAGGAGGCAGGTGGATCTATCTCTGTGAGCTCCAGGACAGCCTGGTCTACAGAGTGAGTTCCAGGACAGCCTGGTCTACAGAGTGAGTTCCAGGACAGCCTGGACTACAGAGTGAGTTCCAGGACAGCCTGGACTACAGAGTGAGTTCCAGGACAGCCAGAGCTGTCTCTAATACAGGGAAACCTTGTCTCAAACCACCACCCTCCAAAAAAAGTTACATGAGGGCTGGAGAGACAGCTCAGCGATGAACAGGACTTGCTGCCCCTGTAGAGGACCTGGGTTCAGTCCCAGCATCCATACGGCAGTTCAAACTGGCTTTAACTCCAGCCCTTAGGGATGCTACTCCCTCTTCTGACCTCCCTGAGCACTAGCCATGGGTGTGGTGCACACATACACATGCAGGCTACACATACATATAAAATAAAAAGAAACAAATGTTAAAGGTGTGAGGGGCGGGCATGGTGATGCATACCTGTAATCCCAGTATTTAGAACAGAGGCAGAAGGATTACTGCAAATTCAAGGCTAGCCTGGGCTACATAGCGATTTCTAGGCCAGGCAGAATCACAGAGTAAGGTCCCATCTAAAACAAACAAACTGAGTAAGCACACGCCACTCTTTTTTGAATCTGTTAAACACCTAGCCTTTCTTTTTTGAGGTAGAATCTCACTTACATAGCCCAGGCTGGCATTAAATATGTTATCCTCCAGCCTCAACTCTAAAGTACTGGGAATACAGGTATATGCCGCCACACATGGCTTCTCCTCTGACTTTTCAGGCCTCCCAGCAGTCTGAGACTCTTCAAGATAACAGAGCTTCCATTCTCTATGTACCTTTCTCTTGTTTGTTTTGTTTTTCAAGGCAGGGTTTCTCTGTGTGGCCCTGGCTGTACTATAACTCACTCTGTAGACCAGGCTGGCCTCGAACTCACAGAGATCCACCTTCCTCTGCCTCCTGAGTGCTGGGATTAAAGGTGTGTACCACCATGGCCAGGCCCATGTACTTTTTAAATTCTTGGTGACAAGTATGATCTCTTGTTTTTGACTAACTAAAGAAAAGAGAACCATGCCCTCGTAGTCTATGTCTAACTTGAATTTCTAATACAGCCCAACTCAGGAGACAGCTCCAGAAGGAAGCCGGAGGACGAGACAGTGCTCACCTGTACGTGAAGCGGAGCTTATTAACAATAGCCTTCATCTTGTCTATCTGCTCGGCGTTGGCCATCACTTTCTCAGTAAAGGGCACCTTCCGCTTGTCGTCAGCATAGGGGAGGAAGACAAGCTGGAAGCCTGAGGAAGGGAGACAGGGCTTCTGAGGTTTGTTTGTCTCTGGGCCCCAAGTTCAACTCTGTGTCCTGTGATGCTGGGGTTACAAATCCAGATTCTCCTTTACCAGGAGACACCTGTGAAAGTCAGTCTAACAGACACTCTCTGGGGATCCATGGGAAACCTGACAGAGGAGGGAGCCCCAAGAGGCAGCATCAGCCAGGCCACAGCAGTTGGTCCCAGAGTCTAGTTGTTATTATTATTATTGTTGTTGTTGTTGTTAATAATAATAATAATAACCCAGAGCCAGCTGGTCCTAGCTTCACTGGGCTCTCCTCTGGGCTCCAGCCTTTTCCCATTTTTACTGTAGCTTCTGGCACAGATTAAAGAGATAGTTATCCTGTGGATCCTGGTACAGTTCCTTGATGGTTCTAGAAGGAAAAACCCAGCCACTGTAATCAATGCTGCTGCCAGGCAAGGGCCCTTGTGGCAGGGCTGAAGGTGTTAAGCAAACAACAGCAAGCGAGCGAGCCAGCTCCTCCCCCTGCTCTCCAGCTCCCCGTGTGTCGGCCTCTGACAAGGACAGCTAGCTTGGGTAGCACACAACACGAAAGGGTGAACTGTAGCTGAGAGGTCACGTGCTTCTAACCAAGCATGCCAATGACCCTGGTTTAGATAGCTCCGAAATAACATGTTGGTATCTGTTCTTATTAGAATGACTAGAGGACTAGCTTCAGTGACATTTTGGGCTAAGCATAAGCACATGTAATTATCTCAAATATAAAACAACCTTCAGGCGACAGTAGGAAGTTTAAATTCTGCCCCCAAGTTGGCTAACTGACAAGTGGCAGATATGGGTCCAAAACAGAAGAAAGTGAGCGCTCAGATGTACAGCATAAGACAAAGTCACAGCTGGGTTTGGTGGTGCACACCTGTAATACCAACGCTCAGGAGACAGGGGCAGCAGGAACATAAGTTCAAGGTCAGCCTGGGCTACACAGTGAGACCTTGTATAGAGGGGCTAAGGAAACAAAAGCAAGCCTAACTTCAAACTGTCCATGTCGTCTCCACTACATCACACTGCCCTGGCAATCACAGGACATAAACCAAGTATTAAGGGTGACAAGAAACTTCCAGTAAAGAAAAGTATCAACAGAGAAGCTCTGAAACTTGCATCAGAAATGTCCAATAGTCACAATGGAGACAGCTCTGAAGCCTGACAACGCTGTGACTGTGCACACTGTTCACATCTATGGTGGCCTTGCCTGTCAGGGCGTCACATCCACTTACAAAACCTTAAAAAATCACACATTTCCCAGGCCTGATTCTTGGGGACTCTGGTGTTTCAGACCCCCTAAGAGATTCCAAAGCACATGAAAGGTTTAAGAGTCTGGCTCTTTCTGCCACATACCTGCTGGAGTCACCTGAATATTCTGATCATCCAGTTCCTCTTCCTGTGGCACAAGAGCCACAAAATAAGGGGGGGTGTTCTTCCGGGGTGTGTATCTACACACTGCTATGACCTCCTTCTCCAGACACTTGGTGAGCAGAGCACTAAACAGGGTTGAGCTCCCTAGAAAACAAACATCACAGGACCTGCACCCTAAACACTCTCCGTCCCCCCATCCCCAGCACAATCAGTCTCCTTTGCTTTGCTCTGATTTTGTGAGACAGGTTTTCTTTGTGCATCCCTGGCTGTCCTAGAACTCGCTCCGTAGACCAGGCTGGCCTCGAACTCACAGAGATCTGCCTGCCTCTGCCTCCCGAGTGCTGGGGTGAAAGGCGTTAAAGGCGTGTGCCATCACACCCAGCCATAGAGTTTTGTCCATTTCCTTTACAGGGCCACGACGCCTCAGTAAGTAAAAAGTGAAGGCCCAGAGCTGAGGGAAAGTAGGGGCGGAAGGGGCAGAGAAAGGAAGAGAAAGAAAAGCAACCCAGTTTGGGGGGCTGAAATACTCCCTTTGGGAGTATGAACCATTGTCATCTCATTGCACTGATGTTAGGATAATGGCATGAGCTTCCAGTACTAAGGAAGCCACTCGAGTATGGGGAGAGTTCCTTATGAAGTACACAGGTAAGGACCAGAGCAAAGGTCCCATCACCCTGAACTGCCCACAGTTAAAGCAGAGGGACGTCCTGGGTTTAGTTTGGGCTCTATTATTTGGTCCATCTTATAATTCCATAGGATGAAAGCTTTAAAAAAAATTTTTTTTTAAAAAGATGGGGGTAGGAGGTGGAAGGGTGGCGTATTTAATCCCAGCATTTTTTAATCCCAGCACTTGGGAGCAGAGGCAGGTGGATCTCTGTGAGTTTGAGGCCAGCCTGGTTTACAAAAGTGAATACCAGGACAGCCAGGATTGTTACACAAAGAAATACTATTTCAAAAAAACCACCATCGATGGCTTAGCGACGACTGGCTAGAGATGACTGCTCTTCCAGAGGACCCAGGTTCAATTCCCAGCACCCACATGGTAGCTCACAGATGTCTGTAACTCCATTTCCAGGGGGCCTGACACCCATGGCAAAACACTAATGAACATTAAAACAAAAACCCAACTCAAATTCCACAGCCCAGCCCCCTCCCACCCCTGGATTTTTTACAATGCATGTCAGTATGGTGAGGTTCCTGAAGAAATTTAACTTTGCTCAGTCTACATACAAACATTACATTTTCTCCTTTTTCTGAACATGAGACACTTTTAAAATACCCCATTCCCATCTCTTGTACGGTGTCCAAGCAGCATCCATTTAGGAAACATGGCTCAATAAACCCATTAACAGGTGTGGGTTCTCCCTTGGTCTACCGTTTACCAGGGACTCCTCTGGGTCTACACACAGGAAGTCTGTGTGCTCACCGTTTACCAGGGACTCCTCTGGGTACACAAACAGGGAGGGCCGCAGGTAGTGGTGCTTCTTCAGCATTACTAAGGGCTTAAAGCCCATGAGGATCAAACCTGGCTCATCAAACCGCTTCAGCTCCTCTGTTTCCTCTTTCTCTAGCACAATTTGACGGCTCCCGTAGGTCTAGAAGAGAAAGGATGGGAATAACAAGGGCCACAAAAGAGCTATGCAGAGATGCATTTCCAGCCACCAAACCTCAGCAAGTTAAATCAGCTCTGTGGGGTCTGGGGTGGCTGGTGGGGAAGAGTACATGTTTACATCCCTGTCCCCCATGTAACACCACATGTGCCTGGAACCACACTGTTGGGCTGTGGGAGGAGACAGGATCTCAAGGCTTGCAGCCAACCAACCTGGCTAGGAAAACAATAAGCTCTGGTTCAGTGAGAGACCCTGTCTTTTTTTTTTTTTTTGGTTTTTTCGAGACAGGGTTTCTCTGTGTAGCTTTGCGCCTTTCCTGGAACTCACTTGGTAGCCCAGGCTGGCCTCGAACTCACAGAGATCCGCCTGGCTCTGCCTCCCGAGTGCTGGGATTAAAGGCGTGCGCCACCACCGCCCGGCTAGAGAGAGACCCTGTCTTAAGAGAATAGGGAGAACAGAACAGAGTCATCAATATCTTTCTCTGGCCTCTACATAAGAGTGCACGGTGCACAGATGTGTATACACACACAGACCAGCTTTCTTCAAAGAGCAGGAGACAGGTCACCAGAGACATCCTCCTCATACAACCAGGCATGAGCATTTACTTAAGGACGTCCAGGTAATTTTTATGCCATCTAACTTGTCTTCTGTACAATCCGAGGAGATAGGTATGAAAAGCTGTTTACCAGGAGCTGCAGGGATGGGTCAACGGTCAAGTACCTACCTAGCAATTAGCAGGCCCGACTTGGATTTGAAGTAAAACAAGCAAAACAAAGAAAAAAAACCTGTTTAACAGACAACTGAACTGAGGGCCAAAAGTCGGGTAACGTGCTCCAGATTATACAACTGCAATGGTCTTCTCCCCACTCCCCAAAATACAGCGTTTCTCTGTGTAGCCCTGGCTGTCCTACTTGCTCTGTAGACCAGGCTGGCCCAAGCTCACAGATCTGACCTCCTCTATTAAAGGCATGCGCCGCCACCGCCCAGCTTACAGTGGTCTTTAAATCTAGATCTTTCTGGTGCCAAAGGCCATGCTCCTCAGGAATTTATTTTTTTCTCTTATTTAATGTTTACTGAGCTCCCAGCCCTATCCATGACACACAACAGATAAATAAACCAAGGACTGTGGAAATAGCTCAGTGGGAGAGCAACTTGTCTCACAGAACTTTATGGGACGCAGATCCCACATCAAGTTCTAGACTGAGGTCTGGTTGCAGGGAGGAGGCACCAAGAAACACTTACACCTGCTATCAGTGGTGGTGCACACCTTTAACCCCAGCACTTGGGAGGCAGAGGCAGGCGGATCTCTGAATATGAGGCCAGCCTGGTCTAAAAAGTGAATTCCAGGGCAGTCAGGGCTACACAAAGAAACCCTGTCTCAAAACAAACAAACAAACAAACAAAAGAAAGAAAGAAAATACTTACTTCCAAATTTTAACTTTGATCCTGGAATATGATTAATACCAGAATGTGGTGGTAGAGTCAAATTTGGGTTTACAGCAAAAAATAAAAAATAAATAAATAACAGCCCTTCTGATTTATCTAGAAAACTGAATTAATAAACTCAGTGGTCATAGGGCTGCTACCCAACAGCTAGTTACGTATCAATAAAAAGAGAATGTTTTGGGTAGGCTGGGGGTAAGGGGAGGAGGTGGGAGGGGGGAGAATAGGGGAACCCATGGCTGATATATAGAACTGAATGGTATTGTAAAATAAAATACATATATATATATATATATATATAAGAGTTTACATCATGTAGGTATTATTCCTAAGCAACTGAGCTTCATTAAACTTATAATGTAATTTGTGTTTTCATAAAAAAAAAAAAAAAAAAAAAACAATGTTTCAAATCTTCTATCCTTCTAATAGCAGGGAGAGACCCTCTAGTGTGAAATTTATACTCAAAAAATAAATGTGTGTGTGTGTGTACACGCGCACTCGTGTGCTCATGTGTACAATGGGTTGAATAAAAATAATTAGTCAAACAGTTAGGATCTGAACATATACAAAAATCTGATCCTCTCCCATATTTTATATAATTAAAAAAGATGTGTTCAGCCAGTCACGGTGGCACACGCCTTTAATTGCAGCACTGGCAAGTGGATCCCTGAGTTCAAGGCCAGCCTGGTCCACACAGTGAGAACCTGTCTCAAAATAACAAAAGGACGTGTTCAGTTTTCAATATCACATCCTTCTGAAGAATAAACATCAGAGAAAGGACAAGAGAGAAGGTGCTGCATTTGGTCTTTCATGCTCAGAAAAGCACATGTGCATGATTCAGAGCAAGAAAAAAAATCTTCCTAGTTCAGGAAAAATAAATTCTCACCCTTAAACTACCCATTGCACCTGCCTGGGATTAACCACAAAGCACTTCCTGTGGCTGTACTTGAACAGTTACAGCGGTGTGTGCTGAGCAATGGGCCAAAGTTTGCATCAACACCTGGCCTATTCACCTTTCTGCTCTCAGACTCACATGCCATGGCTGCAAGGTCGGCAGCGGCTTCCTGTCCTAACAGCTTATCTAGAAAGATGCAGGGGACGAGTACCTGAGCTGGTTAGGCTGCTCAAAGTGTCCCCTTCCGGCTCGTTTTCCTCTTTCAGACAGGGTCTCTTCACAGCCCTGGCTGTCCTGGATCTCGCTCTGCAGACCAAGCTGGCCTCAAACTCACAGAGATGCCACTGCCTCTGCCTCTGCCTCTGGGGTGCTGGGATTAAAGTCATGTGCCACCATGCCTTGCTTCTGTTGTTTTTTAAGATTTATTTATCTGCACTAAGATTTATTTATTTATGCACAATGCACATGCCTGGTGCATGCAGAGGTCAGAAGAAAGGGTCTAAACTCCTGGAACTGAAATTGTGGATGGTTGTAAGCCACCATGTGGATGCTGGGAACAGAACCTGGGTAATCTGAAAGAACAGCCCAGTCCTCATAACTGCTGAGCCATCCCCAGCCCCTACCTCCTGTCAATCCTGGAACAGACAACTCAGTGGTTAGCCACCTACCTGAGATCGCTTGGTATCACTAGGCAGGAGCAGACTGCCGGTGTTAACATTAAAAGTCCTAGTCTTGGTTTTCACTGGCTCATTTGTTTCTCGATAGAGCCTCACTGGAAAAGGCTTGTTAGCTTTCTGGACCAAGTTATAGATGCCCACCATGAGTGCTACGTCTTTACCAAGCTTAAACCTTAACCTGAGGGAGGGAAAAAGAAAAAAAAGCAAGCATGGATGGGAACGTTGTACTTTCCTATGTAAAGTGTTTCACAGCAGCCAAGTTTCAATTTGTTTTATTCTTTCCAATCATCTCAGCATGTAGACTGTAAACAAAATACAGCACTGGGTATAGTGGCAAGTGTCCAATCCTAGCAGCTGAGGAATTAAGACAGTAAGATCGCCATGAGTTCAAGGCCAGCATGGGGAACATACCAAGTACCAGGCTAGGCAGGTCTACATACAAGACTCTGTCCACAATATAAAAACAAACAAACAAATAAATAAGTGGGGGTCGGGGGTACAGAATGCAGCTAAGCATGGAGTAGACACCTACAACCCCAGATTAAAATACAGAGCAAGATCCTGTCTTTAAAAAATAAAATAAAAATGATAATCTAACAATCTTGTTACTATTGATCTTATGCTATAAGAAAGCAAAATAAAGCTTGGCCCACGCCTTTAATCCTGACACTCAGGAGGCAGAGGCAGGTAGATCTCTGAGTTTGAGACCAGCCTGGTCTACAGAGCAAGTTCCAAAACAGCCAGAGCTACACAAAGAAACCCTGTCCAGAAAAGATAGATAGATAGATAGATAGATAGATAGATAGATAGATAGATAGATAGATAGATAGATAGATAGATAGGCAGGCAGACAGACAAATAGAGATAGATAAATAAATAAATAGGACTCAGGTCATCAAGCTTGGCAGCAGGCACCTTTACCTGGTAAGCTATCTCACTGGCTTAATAATATATTTTTAACAATGATAACTAACATCTGGGGGCTGAAGAGATGGCTCAGTGGTTAAGAGCACTTGTTGCTTTTCCAGAAGACCTGAGTTTGACTCTTAGCATCCACACTGGGTGGCTCATAACCATCTGTAATTCCAGCTCCAAGGGATCCTGTGCCTCTTGCCTACATGGACACCCACACATACATGTAACTCAAGAAGAAAGAAAAAAAAAGTAAGAAAAGAAAGAAGGAAGAAAGAAAAGGAATGAAGGGGAAGGGAAGGGAAGGGAAGGGAAGGGAAGGGAAGGGA